AACGGCAGGCAGCGCTTGTCTGGCAAAAATCCTTTCATGGATACCAGAGCTTCGAGACAGTATTCGATGTGCATATTTGGCCGGGAGACATATTCCTCGAATTACGAGGAGAAAAGGTCTTAAAAGGGTGGCTAATGAGTGTAGCATCCATTACATGCGAGTGTTGAGCATCGGAGTTGCTCTTTCCATGACCATATATAGTAAAATACTCCCGTGTACCCATCTAGGTACAACGCCTTACAGCCTGAGGATGTTTCCAAATAGTGGCGATAAATATGATATACGCAGCGTTTGGGAAATGTGTGAATCCCACCAATTTAAGTGGAGAATGATGCCCATCTGATACCATATCTAGGCAATGTAATTTCGTGCTGCCCTCGGAACTAACCCGACATATGAGTCATGTCTGACTCGTTTAACAAGTCGATATTTGTACTTAGGCAGGCATTGCGAAATGCAACATTGAGGTTTAACTCAGTGGCCATATCTATATCTATGCTAATGTTACGTATGAATGGAGAGCACTACTTAAACAAGCACGAGTCCAGGAGATCGCTGGATGCGCCAAAGTCCGAACGTCCATAGAGTCCTCTAAGCGACAGAAGTCAAATCGATGTTACAGTATTGTAGGAGTGTGGGTATATGAAGTCTCTGAGATTGGAGGTACGTAAATGAATCAGACAACATTACAATGTCGTAAAGCGCTTTAGGCAGGTCAATAGTTCTTCTCTACTGATGGGTTCCCCTGGATGCATTTGGTTGTTGCTCCCGTCCGTCTGCTTCTTGCGATATGTCTTGGTTGCCGTCTTCAAGTCCTTCCAGAAATGTTTGATGATGGCGTTTGCAATATCGTGCGCTGGTTGAGTGGTGCTCGATCGTACTTTTGGTTTTTCGGTGCCTCCGCTTTCACTCGAATCCCCGTCCGTAATCCAATGTGTGAATCATTCAGATCGATAGTAAGACTGAAGTCTGCTTAACACAAAGACAACAAATTCACATCTGGAAATCTCGTTTCATAGTCGGTTTTACATGTCAAAACTGATCCTTTCTGTATCCGCATTGGTGTACTTTTCCTCAATTTGCATTCTATGCTTTGTGTACATTTACAGGCTGTATTCGTACTCTATGCAAATCCGTTTATTTTATTTTTTCCGCAGTGACTAGAACACGTGTCGCATTCGAGTTCATTAACCGGTGAGTGCTTCTCACTGAAATTACTGCTGCGATTCGTGTGACGGTGCCCACGCATTTTCTGTTTTTTCCGTTGCCTTCGTTACCAGTCACATGAAATCCTCTTCCTCCCAGGCTATCCAAGCGATGACACACCCCACTGCTTGCAGGAGTCAACAAGGCACGGGCTGCACGAGGAGAGCGCAATCGTCGCAACAGATGACGGACGTGAATCGGTTCACTCCCTTTGACTTTCAGTTTCACTTTGGATCATACTACTCTACTGCCCCCTCGAACTCTCAGAGCATACCGCCATCTCAGTTACATTACGTTTTCAGTTACATTACGTTTCAGCTGACTATGTTGCATGCCAGGACTGATATTGTACATTTCTGCATCTACTCTGTACGCTGATACTCCAGCACTAGTAGTTCCAACTTTCATGCTTCTTCTGAGTCTTTCACGCATGCAAATGTTCCGCCACTGATCTTGTTTGCGCATCCGACGACTCGTTTCGTAAGTTCCCGGTTGGGCATTCTGTCACACCAACGATGAATACAGCGAGTAAGAGCAAGTCTGAACTTCCACGTCAGCGGTGTCACGCACTCTGCTTTTTGTACTCATCTGGTCTCAATCAGTGTCGTCATGCAGTAATCCGGCTCGAAAAGGCAAAGGTCGAGACTATGTACGTGCTCTCTCTAACGTGGGACTTTTGGCTATGCGGACACAATTTTCATGTGTGGTTGTGTGGTGGTATGTTTGTGTTGAGTATTTTAATGGTTTGCCCAACATTCAACTTTTCTTTAACCTTCTCCACATCATCATGTACCGTGCCGTGTCACATCCCAGTGACATGTGTTCTGGAGTCATCCAGACATGTTGCATACATGGCGTCGCCGTCTCCTGTCAAGGAGACATAATCTGTGGTTGATAGGACTGGACAACAAGACCGATACTCCTGCGCTCATATACCCATTTGTCTGATTGTTTTTATAGCAAGGTGCTGTTGCCCGATGATCAATAATGCTTGTGGTCTGTCTCTCCAGGTGAATGATTGCCCTCAGGGCCTGGCCAAGATGGCGTGGTTGGAGTCATTCAGACATTATGTGTGCCTTTCCTTCTCCTACCAAGGGGAGGTCAAGACTTGGCTGACATACCTCACCCGTTGTGGTCCTGGTCAAGCTTCATCAGCAGGGATTTGCCGGTGTTTGTGCGAGTGGTGCGGAACACTCCGACATAGAAATTACAGGATAAATGATGGCTTGGATAGTTATCGTGCGTTTCGGAAGAGCAACGCTGAAAACAGTGAGAGATACTTGTTCTGGATTTGCCGGTATCTGTGGACGATTCGCAGAATTATTGAGATGGCATGAGTCATGACCTTGCAAGCAAGGTGATTTTTGGTGGCGGTGACCCCAGAAATGGCCAGAACATATCATAAACAAACTTACTTGTCACTTGCCCGCCCTATGTACTTGTTGAGATCACATACTGCATGGCCAATTATAGGGCGAGTTCCACTGGCACATTTGTAACCCTTCCTAAAATTTTACTGGACACTGATTCGACCTACGTGGACAGTTCTAAACAGGCCAAGCGCATTTGAAACCTTGGTAAACATGTGAGTGTGCAAGACCTTTGTCATTCATTTAGTGCTATCTCACTGATGTTGGGGAAAATGGGCGATGGCGAGGGGTTGACTTCCAGACAAAGAGTAGTCCATCATGCTATCGGGGATGTTTTCTTTCTTTGGGAAAGCAAGTGGGTTCTATTTGGACATAGCAATGTCACGTGTATGAAGAAACAGTCGGGAGAGCGGAGTTTCAAGTTGATGAATATCTTCTTGGGTACCATGCCATAAACGATAGACGATTTTCATTGGCTGCTAATGTAACTCAGGCCCTACATATAGTAAGTATCTCATCGAACAGACAAAAGGTATGAAGACAATGATGAGCATGGATGGAGATGTTGTAGATGCAGATGCATAGGTAGCTGACATCAGTTGGTGGGCAGGCTTATGTAAGCGTGGATTTCCTCATGTGAAACTGTTCTTCTCACGAGCTCAATCAAATGTAACACAAAAAATCATATTTGGGAAAATCAATATTGTGGATGGGTGCGTGAGAAGGGGAATATGTTGACATATATATAATCAGCGCATAGATCATCCTTATCTCCCCCTGAGCCACATCATGCATCGAATAACATCAGACACACAGTCCAGTGATTTCAATTATGAGCAGCATATATATATACCTTCCAACCTCCCAACAGTGGGAATATCGCTTCGTAACCACCTACCTACACCACCCAACAGTACACGGACTTCACTTGAGGAGTCCCAGTGTCGATCGGAATCCTCATGCGTGTCTGAAACCCTTGTACGGGTTGCAGTGCCTCCCACAGAAGCGAACCTACTGCCTAGTGATTTGACCCCTCCACCATCTCCATCAAGTCCATCTCCGGAAACCTGCGACTTTATTTTGAAGTCCTTCAGGAACGTTGCAGATCGGGCAGTAACAAGGGTTGTTATGCAAAACGTTCCATCTGCCACATATGAAGCAGTCGTAGAAAAAGCCACAGAAAGCGGAGACTGGCAAGCTGTGAGGTATGTCACAAGTTTGGTCAGTTTCAACTGAATGTTGATGATCATGCAGAGTCGACTACAATGAGGGTGTGCTCATTGTACACTGCCCAAACCTTGGCCACGAGATCCTCCCAGAACTGTTTGATGTGATGAGGCATGCAGAAAAATCATACCCAAAGAAATATCACGACAGTACAATCATCCAGGGCGGGTCAACGACCATTGATCTGGCAGCTGGTTCGAAATCACCTGATTTCAGCCTGTATGAAGTAAAAGAAAGTAGCGGGCAGGCGCAACAAGGGACAAGTGGGATCCCTACGGTTGCCTTTGAAGTAGGCTACTACGGGGAAGGGGAAAAGAAATTGGCCTTGGATGCCGGCCGACTTATATGCCTGTCCAAAGGCATGATACAATTAGTGGCCACGATCAACATCGATCACGAGAAGGAAAAGAACGGAATACGGAAACTGAAATCCGTTATCTGGACCCATTGGGAGATGGATCCAGGGTATCCTCAGATTGTTAAAGGGAACGATACTTATGAGCTTAACAAGCTCTTGCCTGAAAGAAATGGAAAGGTTATGACGGACACGGAGAAAGTCCAACCAACACCCGATGCCTACAGAGCAGTAGTGAGTTTTGCCAAGACACCCTATTGGGTCAGAGCCCAGCAGTCAAATACATACAAGGTATCTAACCCAGTTATTTTGCGAATTCAATCTGCTGACTTCAAGGACCTGGAGCTCTTTCCAGATCAAGGGGTCAAGTCTATCCCGATCCTGTATCGTCATTTGTTCCGTGACCCTCAGGAGAAAGACCGGAAAAGCTCTGCATTTACCTTTCAAACTGTGGATATCATGGCTACAATTCATAGCCATGAGAATATTCAGCGCGAAATAAATGGCAAAAACAAGAAGACACAACAAGATGTGGACTCAATTGACGAGGAGCAGCTTGAAAGGTTAAAAAGGCGTCGTTTTGACCTGCAATAGAACCATGATGTAATCATGTACTAGACACACTACCCACCTACTAAATCCCGAGGACTAGTGCCACTAGTGGGGCGAAAGTCAGCATATTCTGTGGGAAGAGGGATAAGCAAGACGACTAACACGCGGTCTGCATGTGTATTAGTGTGAGAAAGGGATCTATGGCTTGTCGCATGCAGCCACTTCTTCGTTCGTCATTGTTGTAGACAATACAAACCAGGTCTTCGAAGTTAGGGCCTAACCAGCTGTCAGCATTGTAAAATTGTAAGACATGCCATACCTGCAAGACTTGAAACAATGTCCAAGTGCTTCTACCACCTCGCATCAAAAACCCTGAACAGCCTTCAACCACTTAGAAGAACGAACACTTGACACATTCTACAGAAAACACATGTTGTATGAGTGAAACAATTTGGCCATGCTGTGTGTTACTCGCTGTCCCAATCTGAGCTGCAGTATCAGTCACTTTGGAATGGCATAAAAGGTCACCTGAAGAGACCAGGAGTAAAAGTGTGGGTGGGAAGAAGGCAGAGGAGGAGGAGGACAGGTGTGGACATTATTGTTGATAGTATGAAGGTGAGAGCCGAACTGTAGCGCCAGCAGGGCCAAGCGAGCTGATGCCGTCTAGCACCATAACTTTCCCACGGAAACTGAGAATTTTCTGACTCACAGCTGCCTGCTTGGTTTGTTTTTCTCGCAGGCGCACCAGTCAACCAAGGTACTAAGCCTCCCTGTCTCAAAAACTTCGTAGTCTCAATATTTACCGTCCTAGGGTGGCGTACCACGTGCGGTTCATTCGGGCGCATCATCTCCGTTTTTGTGGGTGAGGTTGTTATTCTGCGGCTGGAGGTCCACGCGCTTGGCACCAATGACCCTAGGAAAATGGTTGATTGGCGATGCTGCTTGCTTCGTGCGTGTAGTCTTGGATGTAGCTCGCTCTGCAATCTCACAGTATGATCACCTGTCCCTACCCGTTTCAGCGACTGACACGTCGTATGGCTAAACTATGCTCTCACCAAGCCCTTCTAGATAATCTACTCCAAGCCCATCCTATCTGGTCTTGTTAATATTTAACATCATCAGCATGGGAAACCCCAAACTACACGACCTTATCTTCGCATTTTGCCAATCAGCGCCGCGTTTTAGACATTAGATTGGGTATGGTGGGCCAAATGCACCATAATTACATCACGCGCACACACACGCAGAAAAGAAATCGGACACAGACACTTCGACGTTTTCGATACTAACGATGTATAAAATTTTGACGTACAGTCAAAGGTAAAATAGGATAAAAACAATCTAAAGGCTTACTGCAGTCCAATTACATGATTGTAGGGTAGATTCAGGTGGAGAGTGTCGGAAAAACAACGAAAATAATGAATGTCCTCATTTCCTATCCCAGGGGTTGTGCTTTGGTTTGACGAGCATGTCGAATCCCGAACGGGATGACGAGAACCGTGGAGTGTTGTTGCGCACTGCATGAAGATTCTGTGGAAGGCCGGAACCAAGTTCACGAGTCGAGGAAGAAACAGCCGCCGTCAAGGAAGTAACTGCTAACACGGATGCGGAGGGCAATATATCTTCACTGGGGACGGAAGCACCGAAGTCGATAGTATTGTATGGTTCATAATTATATTCGTCCTGTATGGCTGGTGCACTTGATTCTTCTGGTAATCCAAGTTGTGTGTTCGAAGTTGGTTCATCTTCAGCTGGTTGGACATCGTCCAGCCCCAAGGTCTCCAATGATTCCAACCGCCACATGACACTATCGATTTGGGTGTGTATAGCCGTACTGGAACTGGTCCCTTCGTTGTCATTTGAATTCACGTTTGAAGACCTTGGTGCCGAGACTAACACAGCTGATGCCTTGAACTCAGGTCGTACCTCACTCTCCGTGGCAACTTTAAAATATGTAGTGAGAATGTGATATAATAATAAAATGATGAAGTCATGACATACCTTACTGGCGCTTCCTCTGTGGCCGCTTCGTCCGTTCGTGATCTTCAACCACGACAACTTCGGAATCATCTGAGTCAGAATCGAGGGAAGTGGCGAACAGCTTGGTACTGGCAGACCGAGTTCGTTTTTTGAGATTAAAATCTGAGCATAAGAAAAATTGTAAGTGCTTAAGCTTCGGAGAAGTTGCTAAGGTGCGAAACCTTTTCCCTTTGGGAGTGGTGCCTCAGGCTCACTCTCATCCATATCATCACTTCCGACCGTGACTGCCTTGCCGTCCTCCAAGCATTCAACTTCGCTCATGGAATCATCAAAGGAATCTGGGTCCACGTCGAGGACTGTGCCTAGATGGTATGCACATATATCGCGTGCCAATGAGTTTCCGTCAAACTGTCCAGACTTACCAAAATAGATGAACTGATCAGTCCACTTCCGACCAGCAGGATGGCGAGTTTTCAACACCTCATTTCCTGTGAGTCCTTCCTGACTGCTCTTAACCATATCCTTGCCACTTTTGACAATCAAGTACCAGTAAGTTGAGTCTGAGTTCTTGTTAGCAATATGGCGGTTCTCGAGGAAATCAAAGAGGCGGGGAAATAGGGTATGTAAATATTCGTCAATGTCACTTTTTGTCATGTTCGGTGCAATCTGCAGATCTTCGTCATCGGGTCCCTTGGATACAGCAAGCTTGAGCTTTCGCAGCCCTTCGGTCTTGGCTGTGTCAGGTGCGAGCTTCCGTTTCATGCAGCCCTTTCTATTCTCATAAAAATAATCGTTGATGTCAATGCGAGTCTTGGGGGGGCACAATGAATTTAGGTACTCACAAGTCACCATGACAATTGATCCAATACCTGCCTTTCGAAGGTTTGCTGCGGTTTTCTTCTATACATAAAATTCGATCAACGAGTTGTAGCATTGACATCCTAGGGGATATAATTACCCTGGCATCCTTACTACTGCTGACCTTTGTCATGTGGCTCGTCGAGGCAGACAAGGCTAAGTCTTGCTTTCGAAATCTGTATTATCAGGCTTCACGCCTGCAGATTGCACATCAGCGAGGGCTTGGTGAAAAATGACCTCTGCTTCGGAGAAGGGAATGGGTTTGAGTTGTCTGGTCATGAAGGTTTGACTGCAGGTCACTGGCAATCTCGTCTCGTGAGGTGGTTTGAGTTTGCACATCGGAATCTTCTCCATCAATGCGAGACAGTGGTGGGCCACCAGTACCATAGTATCGGGTAAGTATATCAGGGTGTACATGCAATGGATCGGTAATATAAACTCCGTTCTCAATATCAGAGAGCAAACGAATATCCTAGTGAGAGTAAGCAGAAAACTTGATGCGAGAACTCCTCTACTTACCAGTGAAGATTGGTGCTGTGTTGTTGGACCAGAGATTGGATGATGGTTTCATTCCTCCACAAAGATCTCGCAATCTATGTTCACGAGATCAAGAAAAAGAAAAGGTAGGAGCCATAAGTGGTGGGGATTCTTGCGATTTAGCCCATGAAGGCGTTCAAGGCGTGTGAAGAATGCCTTCCATCGTCGGGCGAACTGACAGCAAACCTCTACCCAAAGGTGTTCAATTCTGGTGTTAAAGATACAATGTATACTCGACGTTCCATATGGACAGGGCGGTCTCCCGTCATATCTGAGGTGCGTACCGTACCATCGCACGCCGTTACAATACTAACCCGTCCACGCCTAGTACTCTCGACAGTGGCATTACCAACGGATGGAATCAAACCACAGTCGATTGCCCCATCGGTGACAAAGTCCATCCGGACAACTTCATCGTACATTCGTGGTCTTTGCTCCACGGGCCCGCGTATTGGACAAATCCCCACCACGACTCTGATGGCAGCGTGACCTTTGTTCAAATTGAAACCGGCGAGAAAAAATGGGGCCTATTCAAACCAATCCACGAGGACACGATTACTCGGACCAACCTCTCCAACATAGCCTTAACATTGACCGATCTCTACCGAAACCGAGAGAATATCCAGGAAAATTGGCACGGAGAAATTGTCACTCTCTTGCCGGGGTGACATGCTGTGAGTGCATCGTGATATTATATTTATATCGATTTGGACTTATATTTGGGAGTATACAACCGGCAGGACAGTTTCACGCGGTTTACACACCTGTGGCTTCGTTTGCTACCGGGGGGCATTTCTACAACTACGAATGCATGCATTTAACGGAACTCTCTCGTTACATAGACCATAAACAAGGCAAAATCCTCACTAACCAAGTACACGCACACTCCCTCGAAACGTTCCAGCGAATGGTCATCAACTTACCACGCATATCGCGTCGCGTTAGTAAGTCTATTCCTTACCCGCATGAAGTCGCAGGCTTGTAATGCCATCTCCAGAGTTATACAACAGGCCCCTCATCGCCCTGTGCACTATGGTCTTGGAATGCGATAAATATGTGGCTGCCGGCACCGAAAAACCAAAAGTACGATCGAGCACCACTCAACCAGCGCACGATATTGCAAACGCCATCATCAAACATTTCTGGAAGGACTTGAAGACGGCAACCAAGACATATCGCAAGAAGCAGACGGACGGGAGCAACAACCAAATGCATCCAGGGGAACCCATCAGTAGAGAAGAACTATTGACCTGCCTAAAGCGCTTTACGACATTGTAATGTTGTCTGATTCATTTACGTACCTCCAATCTCAGAGACTTCATATACCCACACTCCTACAATACTGTAACATCGATTTGACTTCTGTCGCTTAGAGGACTCTATGGACGTTCGGACTTTGGCGCATCCAGCGATCTCCTGGACTCGTGCTTGTTTAAGTAGTGCTCTCCATTCATACGTAACATTAGCATAGATATAGATATGGCCACTGAGTTAAACCTCAATGTTGCATTTCGCAATGCCTGCCTAAGTACAAATATCGACTTGTTAAACGAGTCAGACATGACTCATATGTCGGGTTAGTTCCGAGGGCAGCACGAAATTACATTGCCTAGATATGGTATCAGATGGGCATCATTCTCCACTTAAATTGGTGGGATTCACACATT